GTGTGTGTGTGTGTGTGTATATATATATATATATATATATATATGTATGTATATATTACTGTGTTTTGTAAAAATATGGAATTTTGAATGCAAAGATAATTTCTTAAAATTTCAATCATCATATTAAAGCCCACTGATAAATATATATTCTGAAATGCACCATATTATAAAATAAAAATACTATTAGCTATACTGCTTGGAAGTAGAGCATAACAAACCTATGTTAAGATAACTAATAGGAATATTTTACCCCTTAACATGTTCTTTTCATTTAAAAATACTGTTAGTACCAAGAAATTTTCATAATATTAAAAGAAATTCCAGACCACTCATTTTAATTGCTGGCATGGCAGTTGTAAGCTGAGGAGACTAGACGTTTCCTTTATATGACATGCCATTATTGAGGCAGAAAAGCTTTTTTTGAGAAGGCAATAGGGAGTGCTTCACCAACTAATCACTAGACTTGATTTCTTTCCTGTTATTTGTTTCAGGTTAATTTTAAAATATCAATAGTAGCAATACAACTTGTTATTTTCCTCTAAAGAAGAAGTGCAACACAGGTATTAAAAACTGAGAAGTGTCCATAAACCTTAAATTAATGAATTCCAATGTTTTAGGATCAACTGAGACCAAAACTCGTATTTAATTTTGATATAAGTACTTATTAAATCATTTATTAGAGTGATATTTTAAGTGATATATTAATTTATTTACAATCATTATGAGAAATATATATATATATATAAACAATGACTGTTACAATTTATGATAAGTTCCTAATAACAAAACCAACCTTGGAATCAGAGTGCCATTCTGTCACATTTCTGTGCTATGATCTCAAGCAAATCATAAAATGTCTCTGTTTTTCTTACTGAATGATGGAGAAAAGAAAATCTACCACATAAAGGTGGTTTTAGGTTTACACTGTTTGAAAGACTATGAAATACTCAAGGTTCATGACACATGAGACTTTCTTAAATTATACCTTTTGGGAAATCAGGCAAATACAAACATGTATAGAGAAAAGGTTGAGATGGATTTTCACCACAATTCCAACAAGATACTGTTATTAATATGCTCACTGGATTTATTTCTAAAGTACTCGTATAAATATAGATTGCTCATAGTTGTTTATACACCATTCAAATTATCCAATTAGACAACTACTCTGCTCTATTTGGTAAAGATATTTTAATGCCATTAAATGGCTTTTAGAAATATTATAATGAATAAAATTCAAATAATGGATATATTATTTACTTAACTTTTCCATAATTGTTGCTCATTAGATTGCTTACTATTAGCATAATAAAAATAATGTAATAAAAAGTTTCTACATAGATCTTTGTTTCCTGTCTCTTTAGGAAAGGTTGTGAGCAACAGTTGTTAGAAAAAGACAATAAAAAAATCAAAGATATATTTGTCCAAATTGCTTTCCTGAAAGACCAGACCAAATTAGTATTCTATAGGTACCTTAGCAGATTTCTGGTCCAACCATATCAAACTGAGTATTTAGAATTTTTTCATATTTGCCAATTTTAGGATCCTCTTTAATATTTAGTAGTACTTAATTTTGATGGCATAAAACATTCATGTATTTTAGTAGCCATTTGATTTTCTTCCTCTGAAAAATGCTTGAATGATTTGGGACGTATTTTCCAATGTGGAGTTAGTTACTTAAATGACTTGAAAATGTTCTTGGTGTAATATTATTAATACAAACATCATATCTCATTTTGTCACTAACTCTACACAATAGATTTGAAAATATTAATATGTAATATTTAACATTTTATTTATATCTCTATACCTTTCCCTCTGGAAATTCTACAATGGCTTTGTGTACCCAAAGATCCATGTTCCAATCTTAAATATATTGTTATTCACTTGGTTTTTCATTTAGATATTTAAATGAGTAAAATTTTTATAACTAATGTTTTCTCTCACCTGTGTGTTATTTCTAAGACATGTAATAAAGCCTGGCTTTTGTTCTCGAACAATCTTTCTAAGATTATTTAATGAGTAAGCATTCATTTCACTGATTCCTATGATATTTTTGTCATAGCAAAGTGTTATGTATGCTGGGGTAGATTTTGGACTTCAATCTTCTAACATACCTCCTAGTAATTCTTCCAATATAACCATAGTATTTAGATTTTTTTGGTAAATCTTAAAAACTATTGGATTATTCATATTCTTTCTAAAATTCTTTTCAGTTACTGGGTTTCATTTTTCCAAATTCTTCTGTTCTCACCAAATAAATTCAGTTGATATTTTTGTATGGAACTGTGCTAAAATCAAATGTAATTTAGGAAAAAACAAAAAGCAAACTTCCACAACAGATTTATACTTCCCATTAAATAACATGGTAGTCTCATGTTGATGTACAGCCATTTTTATGTTACTGAATATAGTTTTAATTAATATTCACTTCCCATGTGATTGGACTTTTGATAATTTTTTAATTTTATCTTTTAATCTCTGTAGTAATCCCACAAGGTAGATATTATCATCATCATAACTGTTATGTTGATGAGAAAATTCAGGCTTATATTAACTTTATTCAATGTCCCATATTAGCAAGTGTTGGACTCCAGTTTACATCTAGGTCAATCGTCTTACCTGTTGACTCTCAGTAATTGTAGGAAATAACTAATTATAAGTATTTGACTCTGCAAATGTTATTCAATATGAAATAATGCTGATTGCATTTAGGAAGTGTAACAACTTAACAGTCTGTTCCCACATTACCGTTCTACAAAAAAAAAAAAAAAATGAGCGATTTCCTAATAGTTGTATTGATCAGCTTTTTTTCCTTTTTGGGGAGTTTGTTTTAATTTGGTGTTATTTTTTTTTTTGGCTAGGACTATTCATCTTCAACAGGAAGAAAGTGGAACAAACCTGCCTTTTTAATCACTATAGACTTCCAAGGCACTCCAGCATAAATTCTCAGATCTTCTGTCATTATTCACACCCAGGATACTTTACTAAAGACCGAGAAAGTTAAACTATTTTCCAGCAAAGGCCTGGCACAATCCCACAATGGGTAGGTTACTAGTGGCATATGAAGGTGATTGTTTGCTTGCGTGTTTTTTATTTCTGTAAAGGTGATTTTTAGCTATTGTGAATTGTGCTGCTAGCCAACCTAGATGTCCTTCAGTGGATTAATGGAAAAAAAAAGAATGTGGCATTTATACGCAATGGAATATAGCTCAGCAATAAAAAAGAATAAGATCATGGCATTTGCAGGGAAACTGATGGCATTAAAGAAGATTATGCTAAGTGAAGTTAGCCAATCCCCCCAAAAAAACAAATGCAGAATGTCTTCTCTGATATAAGGGGGGTGACTCAAATTGGGGTTGGGAGGGAGAGCAAGGGAGGAAGATTACCTCTAGATAGGGAATAGGGGTGGGAGGGAAAGGGAGGGAGAAGGGGAATAGCAAGGATGGTGGAAGGAGACCCTCATCATTATACAAAATACATGTATGAAGATGTGAATTTGGTGTCAACATACCTTATATACAATAAGAGATATGATAAATTATGGTATAATGGTGCGTTAACAATCGTAATGCAAAAATAAATAAATAAATAAATAAGTTGATTTTTAGCCATATAAGTACTTTCATCAGTGTTTTCATTTTAATTTGAACTATTTTGCTCCTCAATCTTCCCAGGTTTACAAACATACACCCTTTATTAATATGCCCTTAAACAACAGATCGTCTGTGACTACCTTTCTTCAAAACAAAATTACATACATTTCAGGATAAAAACACCCACAAGAACAATGTAGGTTTTCTCTCTTTTATCATTGTGTTAAATGGAACCCAGTGTGTTGAATTCAAACTAGATTTGTCTGGCTTAAGTTATATATAAAATGCAAAATATCTAATGGATGAAAAATGAATCTAGAAACAACATGTTGATTCTAACATACATTTTGGTTTCAGGTAGCAATTTACTTTTGCATTATTAGTGTTCCATTATTCAGGTTCTGCACTGCCCAAGAAACTATTGATGTCTAGAATTTCACTTTGTGTAACTGAAATCCCAATGAGAAGTGACTTGCTCCTGAGTCTTTGTATACATTTCTGAAGTGGTTTCAATTCTTTATAGTCGAATCATGACACCGAGCTGTGTTTTTTACTTTTGATCACAAGAGGAAAAATGGTATCTATGGCAACAGAAAAGTAGAAGTGTGGTTTCTGACAGGGTTTTCATGTGACAGAAATGACAGCCATCTTTGTTAAGTAATACTATGTTAAGATGCTATCTTTTGTGTCAAATTTACTGTGATATCCAAAATTGGGGAATTACAACTTTAAAGAAAAAGATAGCTCAGCAATTAAAGTGTATATTATAGAGTCTTTAGACTGACTTCCTGTGACCTGCCTTTCAGCTTGGTGTTTGATTTAAAAAGCAGCATGGACTGGTGTCCCAAATCATGATCAGTTAATTAGAAGATGTCAGTATTGAGCTTGGACCAAACGTATTTTTCAAGAAAGTGACTAAAATTACAATATGTGGTAATTTTGATGTCTTTCTTATACAATCTACATAAAAATGAAAAAGTTTGTGGTTAGTAAAATTTAGTTAATTTTGTCAGACTTCTATTTTTTCTTCTTCTTTTATCTTAAAAAAAAGAGTAAAAGAGTGACCACTAGCTTCTTCAACTCCTTCAACTCCATCAATACACACACACACACACACACACACACACACACACACATCACACTTTTAGAAAATATCTAGTTGAACTGTTTTGGTTTTACCATTTTTAAGTATATTGTTTGGTGACAGTAAATGCATTCATATTGTTGTGCCCCCATCACTATATTCTACTCTTGGACAATCTTTTTATTTTGCAAAACATAAACCCCATACCAGCTGAATAGCTCCTCGTAATTCTCTTTTCTCAGCCTCTAGTAACCACCACTCAACTTTTTGTCTCTATGCCGACTACTGTAGGCATCTTTGCTATTGGCCGAAGGCTTATTTCAGTTATAATGTCCTCAATATTCATGCATGCTTTAGTGTGAGTCAGAATCTTCTCCTTTTCTAAGACTGAATCATACGTCATTCTACATATATAACACATTATATTTGTCTGCTCATCCACTGATAGATAATTGTATGCTTCCACCTCTTGTCTATTGAGAATTATGCTGCTGTGAACTTCCTGCTTGCACTATTTGGGGATGTTTATCCAGAAGTGGAATTGCTGTGTCCTACAATACTCCATTTAATTTTTTGAGACGCCACCTATTAAAAAAAAAAAATTTTACATTTCTACCACTAGTGCATAAAGATTACAATTTCTCCATATCCCTGCCAACAGTTGTTATTTTCTTTATGTACCACATTTTAAACAGTATCTCAGGATCTGAGGGTAATATAATAATAAAATATGTAGCTAATGTATCCAGCACCTAAATTCAAACCCAGATTTACAAGACACAAAATAGCTAGTATTTAACTCCTTTGAATTTCTGGTTTGCAACATGTAATAAGGATAATAGTGCATACTATTTAGATATACTTTTGTGATATGCTTTAAAACAATACAATGCCAGTCATTTATTTAGCTTTCAATGTAACTTAGCTATAATTGTTATTAATTCCACAGTGAATGAACCAGTTAACATTATAACTAATTTAAAGATGAATTTCAGAGAGATTGAGTAAAAAGCCAAATGTCAACAATGGCAAGGACATAGTAAGTGGTGAGGAATGGACTAAAACAGGCAAATGTCCATCCATTTTGGTCCAGTATGCTTATAATTCTGTAAGCAAAGGCAGGTGAAAACATTCCTTCTGAATATCCTGGTTCCACATGAAAAAAAAAATAAACAGGAAAAAAATGTATGTTGCTAGTTACTCAGACAAATCTTTTTCTTTCCCAAAATTCCAGCTCCCAAATGACCATGACCATGAAGGCTTGATAGTAAGTATTTCATTTATTAATTTCTTTCCCATTTTCAGCAAAATTTCTGAGTTTGGTATTAGTTTATTTAATATTCATTATTAAAATATTTTTATATCTTTATTACATTAATAGATTCTTAAAGGCAAAGGTTAATCAACATATTTCTTCTTCCTAATTTCTCCTATAAATGACATTTTTATTTATCATTCTATATTCAATGATTTATTCCAATAATATTTTTACCAATAAATTCTTGATGTTTTTATAAAGTTTGCAAATTGTATTTAAAAGACTACTTAATAGATAAAATGTATATATTTAGAAAGAGGAATTTTACTGTTTATCCTGTTTTTCTCTAAATTGGCACTTAGTAAGACAAATATTATCTGACGTATAGAATTTTTACATATATATAGACCAGGCTCACTGAGTGATTTGAAGGTATGAGGCAAAATGTTTGCTTTCCTGAGATCTAGTTCAGTGTTGTTCTCTATATTAAAACTGAGCCTTTATTACAATTTTGGAATTTTTCTTCATAATTATATTTATCTATTAATGTAATATTGCTTCCCTAGGATCACATTATAATGTATATATTTCATATAGATGGTGCATAAATAATGTGTTTCCAGCATGTGTTACTATTATGCTGGACTGGCTTTGAAGTTAGACAAACCTAGATTAGAATATCAATAATCCTTTACATAAAATTTTGAAGATTCAGTGATGCCACCTATAAAATATTCAGGACAACATATACCATACAATGAACTCAAAGTAAATGTTAGTAATTAGCATCAGTTTTCATAACTTTGATAGTGATTAACGGTTTTCATGTTTGCTTTGAAACAATGTTTTTTTCCCCTCAATCTAGACTTCTGCTGTTGTTGTTTGGATTTAATCAGCATCTTTTGAGTTCTTATATTTTAAATGAATCATTACAACTTTATAAAAGGATTGATATCTCTAGGCAGCTACAACACCACTGTTATCACTGCTTCGGAGAGGCCAACCCCTTTGTTTCCTTGTGGGCCAATACAGTGCTAAGTTCAGTCATAGCATAGGGAACAAACAGGAAGGTGACTTGAAGTGCAAACTATAAAATGCAGAAGTTTTGTCTTAGTGAAATATTTTGCATTTTCTGCAAAAATAAAGACATGTCTTTATTATTTGTAAATTCTAAGATATACGATATTATTAAGTGAGATAAGTGCAAAATATGTGTAGTATATATATTTTATAAAATAAAAATTTGAAACTATGGATTGAGAAAATATATCAATTTCTCAAGTATTATTCACTAATAAGAATCTGTACTTTACGAATAATCTGTAAAAGATAATTTTACCCCTGAAGGAAATATAACAAAATAAAGCACAAAACCTATGTAAAATGACATTTTAAAATATCTATAGATTAATATATCACATCTCAAAGAGTTGCTATTCTAAAAATAATTGAAAATTCTCTTTGATAATAATGGCAACATTTTGCATCAAGAATAGATTGAAATAATTACTTAAAATGCAGAATTTAAATAATTAATCCATACAAATATTCAGTATATATTCTGACAGATTATCCAGAATATTAAATAGGCAGACAAAACAGGAAAAAAAAATCCTTTAAGATTCTTAAAACTTGAACTACACTAATAAGAAACTCAAATATTTATGTTTTATAATTGATAGCAATATTTCTATTACTTTGAAGAAGTGTCATATTCCATGCCAAAATTTTACAATGAATTAATCTATAAAATCATGATATTTTAATAATATTCAGACCCAATAAGCTGTTAAGAAGGTAGAACAATTAAATCTAAGATGGAGTCACAATATAAATAAAATACCCACTGAAAACTAGCAGAAATTGTTTTCAGTATCACAGTATCTTGTATCATATTTAAGTACAAGTTTTCTGCTGAGATTTTGGCTCCTTAATGATTATTCTGCTGGGAAGAATGGAGAAATCAAAATGTGTTTTTTAAAGAAAATTTTTTAAATGCAAAAGTTTCACGTATTAGAGAAGAACACTTGTATAGTTGTAACTTCAGCAGTCACTTGGGATCAAACGTAAAATCCAAAAGGCAGCTGCACAGCACAGATGAACAATTTTGTTCTCCACAATTACCTTGATTGTAGATAATCTGATTTGGACTGCTCTGTGAGTCTGTGTGTGTACGTGTGCGTGTGCTTGTGCGTGTGTGTGTGTATGTGTGTGTGTGCGCGCGTGTATCTAATCTTATATAAGAGTTGATGCCTTTGGTGACTGAATTAGGTCAAAATACAAAAGACAAAATAGCTAATAAATAAGAAACATTATCAAGATTTTAAAATCCACAATTGTACTCTATTTCCCCAAACCCAGAGCTTTGATGAAAATTGTTTATTGCATGGCTAAGTTCTTATCTGGAAGGCATCTTCTAGCTTTGAAGATTTTACCATAGTCTTAGAAATAAAAAATTGAGCAAATTGCAGTGCTTTTCTGTAATTTTGTAAAACAGGGTGTTTCAAGATAAATTATACCAGTGGACTGTATCTGTCTTGGACCACAAAACACATGTAAAATACCTGTAATTTAGTCATTTCAAGGCATGCATGAAAAAGGTAATAAACACAAACACAGACATCCTAGTTTGCAGACATGCAGACTTCACAAGTTAGAAAGATTTCAGGCTTACTAAATATCAAAGATGAAATCTGTACTGCACACCAAACTACAGAAAATTGCCTTCAAATTTAAGGTACAATTTATTTCAAATGGGGTAAAGTTGTAGCCTTAAGCATCGAAGCAGACAGAGCTTCATCTAGATTTATTCCTTTATATTTACAATACAAATCCCACATGCACATATATATAAGTGATGTATCCCCAAAATTATCTTCTTTACTGTTTAGTTTTCAAGGGCTTTTAAAAATATGAATGCCAGGCATGTTTGTTTTGAAGCTTATTTTGGCCTTTACAACTTCGTTAATTCTAGAATTTCCTAAAGAATTTTGGAGTGCTTGGAAATGTTCACTTAAAGTAATATTTATTCATGACATCAAACTGTAAGGTTGATTTACTATGATGTTCTTTGTAGTAAAGTGAATTCAGGAATGTTATTTTCATAAGGTAGACAAATTTTTTTTCAACTGACGAATAATGAATTTGGTCTCTTTTTCTAAGAAATATGAACAACCTCAAGCAGAAAGTAGTAGAAAAAAAATAAAGTAAAACTATAACTGAATATCTAGGTTGAACTTATTTTTTCCATTATAAGATGTTAATGTAAAGGAGATGGGGGTATTTGTTCTTTTTTAAAGAACAGTACACTAATAACCCTGTGCTTCACTTGCCTCAAATTGTGAACCAGAAGTTTAGTACTGAAAATAATCACTATTTTCCTCACTATTTCAATAACAGATACAACTACATAGGTGAAAAAGTCCACAACTATAATATGGTCCTAGTTTCAATATGACCATCTGAGTTTGAATAGAAAACTGAACTTGATCTCAGTAATTTAAAAGTCTCTTTTATTCATAAAAAAGACCAAATTAACCCAATTGACCTCTTGAAAAAATGTCATAATAGGACTTGTCCTACCTACACCAATTCAGGGTGAGGTATAATTATCAAATTTTGGCAAGAAGTGAAACATTAAGAGTAGTAATTTACATACAGAAAGAGAAGAGTTCATACTTCTGAAGTGAAACTGGTAGGTGAGGATATAATTGGTAAACTCCCGGTTAATTTTATAGTGTTCTTTTTGACATTTTATGTTTCTTTTTTTACCCTGGTTACTTACGTTCAAAGTTCTCTCTTTCTTTAATGGTCTTATTTTTATTGCATGGTTCTTCTGGTAGCCACAGGAAAGTTTTCCCTTATATATTTATGCTTTCACAAGGTCAGCTCCATAGGTTTGTGACCTGTGATGCAGAACATGGCTTGCCATTTGGAAGGACTTTGTGCATGCTTTAATGATGTTACTGTCTGAATTCTTGATAATAAAAATTTTAAGCTAACATTTTATGAGTGAATTGTAAAGGGATGCAGTACTTCAGATCAGCATAAATGTACACCATGTGCAATTCTTTTAGGGTTAATTTTCCAAAGCGTTTGTTTTGAACAGACAATTCCAGGGGCCTCATCACTGTGGGAACATAGGGAGGCTCAGTGTTCAAATTAAGTTGTGTTACATTTCCAAGGAAAAGATGAGAGCACTAATAAAAGATCATCTTTTCTGCTGTTGAGTCAGAAATTTCTTTGAAGGAATAAGAAGGGAATAGCAGAAAACTGAAATGTCCAAGGAACTCTATCACATCATTTCCTGTGTCACATCCCTATATGAACCAACTACTTAACTTGAAAATGATGACAGAAGGAAAAAGAAAGGCAATAGGGCAATCCTAATCCTTTCAGTTCTTTTCCTACCCATTGATAGGATGTTTGGGTATAAAGTGGTATTGAGTTAGTTCTATATGACTCTTTCACTGTTCAAGTAAGAGTGAAATATATGTGCAAGCACAAATTAAGGAGTACAAATTATAGAATTTCAGTGATTCTGTACATTAATTAAGCATGCTTATCTTCTCAGGTAAAACTGGCATTGCACAGTGTAAAGACTAATGACAAAAATCCATACTAATAATTTTAACTTTTAATTTCTCTTTACTTAGAATAACAGTAGTAAAATATGCTGGAAGTTAAAGTATCTATAGGAGAAAAAAATGTTTTAATACTTTAATAATATTTGTTCAATTTTTTTAACAATAACCTTGAATTTTAATTAAAAAATTATGGAACAGGTCCTGGGTTTCCAAATAATGAAATTAGGGAGTGAGATCTTACAATGTACCCACAGTAGTGCCAAACACTGGAGTTGTGTCATTTTGCAAACCTTTCACTTTATCTTCACAATAATCTTGTAATTTAAGTTCAGTTATGGCTTCTACTGAATGAAAATAAGGAGGCATATGTCAAGAAACAGGTAAAAGACAGAGGCAAAATTTAATTAAATCAGACCCTAGCTC